GGAAAATCCCCCCACAGCTGTTACTAAACTACCAACACTGGAAAAAAGGGGAAAATTACCCCACAGCTGTTATTAAACTACCAACACTGGAAAAAAGTGGGAAATTCCCCCACAGCTGTTACTAAACTACCAACACTGGAAAAAAGGGGAAAATTACCCCACAGCTGTCACTAAACTACCAACACTGAAAAACAAGGGGGAAATTCCCCCACAGCTGTTACTAAACTACCAACAGTGGAAAACAGGGGGGCGTTCCCCCACAGCTGTTAGTAAACTACCAACACTTGAAAAAAGGGGGAAATTCCCCCACAGCAGCTACTAAACTACCAACAGTGGAAAACAGGGGGAAATTCCCCCACAGCTGTGACTAAACTACAAACACTGGAAAAAGGGCAGCAATTCCCACACAGCTGTTACTAAACTACCAACAGTGGAAAACAGGAGGAAATTTCCCCACAGCTGTTACTAAACCACAAACAGTGGAAAACAGGGGAAATTCTCTCACAGCAGTTACTAAACTACCAACACTGGAAAACAGGAGGAAGTTCCCCCACAGCTTTAACTAAACTACCAACCCTGAAAAAAGGGCAGCAATTCCCACACAGCTGTTACTAAACTACCAACAGTGGAAAACAGGGGGAAATTTCCCCACAGCTGTTACTAAACTACCAACAGTGGAAAACAGGGGACATTCCCCCACAGCAGTTACTAAATTACCAACACTGGAAAAGGGAGGTACATTCCCTCACAGCTGTTACTAAACTACCAACACTAGAAAAAAGGGGGAAATTCCCCCACAGCTGTCACTAAACTACCAACACTGGGAAAAAGGGGGGAAATCCCCCACAGCTATTACTAAACTACCAACACTGGAAAAAGGGAAAAATCCCCCAAAAAAAGTTACTAAACTACCAACAGTGGAAAACAGGGGGGAAATCCCCCCACAGCTGTCAGTAAAATGCTAACACTGGAAAACAAGGAATTCCACCACAGCTGTTAGCAAACTATCAACATTTTTTTAACTGTGTCCTGTCTGGCTGTGAAGCAAACAGAATTGATGTCTGAATGCTGGTGACAAGCTTTCCACTAAAATAAACAATAATGAACAAGAATCTGCTTCTAGACCTGCTGAAAGAGAAAAAAGCAAATAAAAACATGGGACACAACAACAATGCAACAAGATCAAGCTATCACTGCGTCAACTTGATGAGGAAATATATAATCAACCTTGTTTAACTGAACAATCACACGATAATAAATCACAGTGCATTTAGTGCCCACCATAGCCTTCAGACTTGTGTTGAAAATGCCCAAGTCCATACTTATGAGAGCACCATGTGAGCACCTGTGTGTGTACACATGCTTGTTTATGTAAGGTTTCTCTATAGGAGCGTCCAATAGAGAATGTGAGGGGCCACAGATCTGCCCCCTAGAGATGTGCAGGAGACTGAGGGAGCTCCAAGTCACCAGAGATCCAGGAGTTGCCCCAGAGCACAAGAACTCCAGGGAGACTGCGACCAAAAAAGCCCCCGCCCCCCTCGAGAGGCACAGAGGATAACCCCGGGGGGCCACAACCAGCAGCCGGGAGATATCGGCGGCCAGCCCTCAGGCCCGCCCACAGCCTCCCACCCCCTGGATGGCCGAGCCCGGGACCCAATGACCCGGGACCCATGGGGCGACCACCCCCGCCGGGGACCCAGCAGAGCCCAGGGACCCAGACTCCACCAGGCAGCCACCGGGACTGGTCAGGCAGATGCCAAAAATCTTAAACTCCCTGACGCGGGAGCCACGACCCAGGCAGACCAAGGCACTGCACTCCACACCAGGTGTGGCAGGGAGAGGGGAGATGAAGATCTATATCTCCGAAAGAAGTCCCAGGAGAAGGGAGGAGTAAAGGCCCCACCTGACATCACACACAAACTATCAACATTTGAAAAAAGGGGGAAATCCCCCCACAGCTGTTAGTAAACTACCAACACTGGAAAAAAGGGGGGAAATCCCCCACAACTGTAAGTAAACTACCAAAACAGGAAAAAGGGGGAAATTTCCCCACAGCTGTTATTAAACTACCAACACTGGAAAACAGGGGGAGTCCTCCACAGCTGTTATTAAACTACCAACACTGGAAAACAAGGAGTAAATTTCCCCACAGCTGTTATTAAACTACTAACACTGGAAAACAGGGGAAATTCCCCCACAGCTGTAAGTAAACTACCAACACTGGAAAACAAGGAGTAAATTTCCCCACAGCTGTTATTAAACTACCAACACTGGAAAACAAGGAGTAAATTTCCCCACAGCTGTTATTAAACTACCAACACTGGAAAACAAGGGGGAAATTCCCCCACAGCTGTTAAACTACCAACACTGGAAAAAAAAGGGGGAAGTTCCTCCACATACTTAATTATTGGGCCTTTGTTGAATCTCAGAGCACCGTAAAAAACAACAGTTCTTCTGGTAATTGAACACCACATTTTACATCACACAGCTGCTCTCATCCTATGAATGGATTAAATTATGATGTACTTCGATAGAATGAATTAATAGATTAAACACTTGTAATGTTTATATTGTTACTGTGGACGCTTTTTAGCACTGATTGGTGACATCAGTGGATGTCTAACGCTGTTGGCTAATGATGAACAGCACTCAATTCAATTTGTATGGGGCTCTAGGGGATGGGAGACTGGCTAAGTCGATCACTTTTATGGATTTCTAAAAATTTATAAAATCATGATTCTTTAAAGCGGATACTCTGCATTGCTGCTTTAGTAATCAGTAGCCTTGATGTCATTCTGTTTCACCGTCTGGATTTTATTTTCACAAACACAACATACAGAATATCGGTGGCTTTAATGTCTTGTAAAACCTGATTTGGACAAATTAAAACGCATCTAAAATTACTGCTATGATGAGGCTTGTGTGGAACTTCAGTTTTGTCTCCAAAAGCAACAAATCGGCGTACAGCGTTCGAGTTCCTGGTCCTCTCTCCAACCCCAACGCAAAATTAACTCATTTTACTCTTAATGGAAATCAATTTATAGATTCAGTGAAACTTCTACGTGCGTCGCATCTCCTTTTATTTTATTCTTCACTGAAATTGAGATTTCACTCCAAGCTTGTTTCAGCATCGTGTCTGTTACCCTCCAACAGTACTTCTCGGAATAAAAGGTAAACAAGACTTCATCTACTTTTTATGCATCTTCCCACACTGCACCATGTGAACAGAAGTCATGACTAAAGAAGACTGCCAAACACCCCCACATATCCTGCACCGGCCGACGGAGTTGCATCGCTACCAGAAAGTGCATCTCGTCCAATTATTTTAGGGGTTCTGGATCTACAGGTACATTCAGACTTCTGCATGAAATCTCTATATAAACAATTAAAACTTTTTTTTTGTTTAATTAAATCCTCAAAATTTTAGAGACCATCCGTTCTGAATTTAGATAAATCAGTTCAACCCAAGCAATGACTCAGATCATTCTAATAGTTTGTTGGAACACAAATTCCCATTTAAACTAAAGAGGAGCTACCTGTTCCAGCTTTGTTCTAGCTATGCTGGAAGCAGGTTTATTTCAATCCCTGTGATGGGAGATAAAGGTCAGGGAAGACAGGATTCTGCTCATTATTCAGTTCTCATAGGTTTGTGCAAGTGCGTGTCTGCACAACCTCCTTCCCAGCATGGCGTGAGACAGCAGAATCCTCATTAGATGACGAAAGATTTAAAAAAGGCTTTTTTTGCACAATCATTATCTAGTCGTAGTAAAGGCAATTTGTTTAAAGTTACAATGTTGATTTTTTTGTTTTTTGGCAGAAACAGTTTAATTAAAATGTGATAAATCTATTTTACGTTCTTAAATGTGACGCCAGTCTCACACAAGGCCTTTCAGCCTCATCTGCAGACACAAACAAACCCACTAGTGCCGGTATTGTTGCTCCCTTGTGTTCCCCGTAGCTGTCATGAAAAAGGGAAGAAGGAAGCTGACCTGCACAGACCCAAGTCAAAACAGAGCACGTAGCTGGGAGGGAAGTGAATTTCTACATTTTCTCAGGAGAAGTTCCATCACTCCGATCTGAGTCACACACACTTCCAGGAAGCGGCTTTCCAGCTTGGGGCCAGGCAACAAGGCTGCTCCATTCTAGCACATTCTCCTGCTTGCTATATGGAGCTCTGCAGCATCCTTCTCAGCTTGTGAATCAGCCTCCCTCCTCAGCCTCCTCCAGCCCACTCCCTCCCCGACCAGTTTTACTCTGCCCAGTAATAACAGAGCTCTGCAAAACAACCCTGTTTCGCAGCTCCTCAATGAATTATTAAAAGCCTTGTCCACGATTTATCCCCGTTTCTGTAAGAGTAAATAAACAAAGACAGCTAAATGCATGCAGAAAACTGGCTGCTACGGGAGGCAGTAGACGCTATAAATACCCCCACCCATGCATTCAGCTCCCCTCCCTCTCGTCTCCCTCCTTCCCAGAGAAAAGCGCATCAGCCAGGACAGCACTGCAGGCCCCTCCGCTGGATTGATGCGCCTTGTTTTTTATTCAAGGGAGGGACACCAGTTATGTCATCGCTGCTACACCATTCGTGCTTGCTCGCTGATGCAATGGGGACGAGGCTACTGACTGACTTCCTTTTGGTTGCTCTGTAGCACATGTGTGTGCAGCATGCTGGTGTTGGCGCACAGGAAGCGTGCTGCAAAGACAGATGCGAATAACCCAAATCACACACTCAGTTTCACGGGGCATGCCCATAAACGGATCTTTGGTTTGCGCAGAGATGAATGAATGGAGCTGTCCTTGGTGCTGAACTTTCCGCAGAAGACTCAAGGCCAGGGGATCAGGCGAAGCTGCACAGCTCTAAATTAACCCTAACTTTTGGAGGCGATGCTTGCGTAAATTACGCGTCCTGGCGTCGTTATGCTCACAAAAACTGCTTTTTTATTTAAAAAATGCATAACTTAGATTAATGTTCCTCGCTGCAGCTAAACACGGCTACCCACCTTACACAGCTGAAAGTTGTCCGACGTTAGCGTCTCTTGCACGTCAATTTCTCTGGGAGTCGGTGCCGCGGTGGGAGTCCCGGCCGCGCTGCCGCACGACGGAGACCCAATAGTCCCCCCCGGAGAGGAGGTGGTCAAACCGTCCAACACCTTCCGAAACTTCTTCATCCTTCAACCCGTCCCGTTTGTTGCTTCAGGTTTCGAGGAGCGAGAGGAGGGGAGAACAGGTCAGCTCTCTTTGTTTTTCCCAGTGTTCACTTATAGATGCGAGCGGGAGTTCAGACAACGTGGCTTCCCGTAGCAGCGGGATAAACGGGACACCTCTTTGTCTCTTAGGTGCAATTTAAGAAGTTGATAATGCACCACATCTTGATTTCTCTGTTGTCCATGTAGAAAAACGCACCCGGAAATTATGATTTCAGCCAACGTTGCAGATGCAAGTCGTTTATCTCATTTCAGAGCTTGCACCATGCTCGGACTACCCAACTTCATCTTCCTAAAGTACAATCCACTCCAGAGCTTCAGCAAAAATCCCGCACCTGGACATAATCGCGCAGAGGAGAAGTGTTTAAGGGAAACAAGTAAAGAAGAAAACTTGGAGAAGGTCAGTCTACTCTCTTCCCCCCGCCTTCAGAGAAGAAGCACTTCCACAACACGCTGGTTGCCAACACAGGAGGACGGAGACGCAGAGGCAATGCAGTTAAAAAAGGAGGTTGGACTTCTCAGTCAGGCCACAAAACGAGACAAGTCAAGCATCAAGGAGGTGGAGGAGGAGGTGGAGACGGAGACGTTTCGTCTTCTTCCTGCTCTGAACCCGGGGTAAATCCCCAGATCGTTTTGCTTTCTTTTAAAGCGACCCGGTCGCGTTTGAGCGTGGCCTCCCTGCAGCGCGGACACGAGTGACTGGAGCTGTCCGCGGTGCTGAAGAAGAAAACCAAATCAAACCAGAAGCGCGCCCCGCCCCTCCACCCACCACCTTCTGCTCGGTGATTGGTTACAAAGCCCTAAACCGGTGAAACAACGTGATTAACGCAGGAAACAAGCCGCAGAAAGGACTAATTCAGCTTGATCTAAAATAAAAATCTATTTATGTGGGGGAATCCTGTAAGAAGTCATTTTTAGACTACTCCGAGGAAACAGAACACTGTAAATATAGATGATTCAAGTATTTTGTTGATTTTCATGTTACTTTGTCAGATCTGTATTTTTAGGTCATTATGTTTCTAATCTGCTGCATCATCTAACTTTCCATTACATTTTTACTTGTTTTTCTCGATTTTGATTTGAATTTGCAGATATGTGTTATAAAATTGTCCGTTTAGCCTTAAAACTTAAAACCCTTTCATCCGCTCAGAACTACATCTGGTTTTTAAAGGTGTGGACCACTTGTTTAAAAATAAATGCCTCTGCAGTGGTCTCTAGGTCACGTTTAAGGTCAAGGTCACGTTCATTTCTAAAGCACACCTATTGTTGCTTCCTCAACCCAAAGTGCTGTACAACACACAAGATAACATAGCAAGAAAGTATAACTAAAAACCATAAAACCATAATAATCAGCAAGTTAGGATAAAAACAACATTACATCACAAAATTATAAAATAAATAACAACGAGAATGAATGACAATGGCAAAAATTAAATCATCCTACATAAAAGCCAGGTTGAAGAAATGAGTTTTAAGCAAGGACTTAAATACATCCAGATTTGGAGAGGTCCTGATCTGCAGAGGTAGGCTGTTCCAGAGTGTAGGGCCCAACCGCAAATACCTGGCAGGAGTGTAGGGTGGCAATAAATCATCTAAAAAGGGGCCAGACCATAAAGTGATTTATAAACAAAAAGCAACAATTTAAACTGAATCCTGTAGTGCACTGGCAGCCAGTGAAGGGAAGCAAGCACTGGAGAGATATGGTCATGCTTCCTTGTACCTGTTAAAAGGTGGGCTGCTGCATTTTGAACCAGTTGCAAGCGGTTTAAGGAGGAATGCCCTAATCCATAATACAGGGAATTGCAGTAGTCTAGTCGACAGGAGACAAAGAGATGAATAACATGTTCAAAGACAGTTTCCATCAAATAGCACTTAACCTTTGCAAGTTGCCTCAAGTGATAAAAACCGGACTGGACCACTGCACTTATCTGTCTGTCCAATTTAAACGAACCATCCATAAAAAAACAGGTTTTTCCACGTAAGGCTTTACAAAATCCAAAAAAGAACCAGGTGGGCTCACTGCACCCTTTAACAGGTCTCCACTGCCAAACACTAAAATCTCTGTCTTCAGGTCATTCGATTTCATAAAATTAATTGACATCCATTGCTTCAAATCATCTAAGCAGGCCATTAAGGAAACAGCTGAATCTGGGATGAGTGGGAGATATATCTGAAGGTCATCATCATCAAAGCAATGAAAAGAAATGTTGTGTCCAGCAAAGATGGAGAACAATGGTAGAATATACAGTGAGAAAAGTGTTGGCCCTAAAATGGAACCTTGTGGAACACCACAAGTCACAGGTGCTGGTGGGGATGTAAAAGTTCCCAAGTTCACAGAAAAGGACCTGTCCTGTAGATAAGACTAAAACCAGTCAAGCACTGTGCCCCTCATACCAACACACGACTCTAATCAAGACAACAGAATATCATGATCAATGGTGACAAAAGCAGCAGATAAGTCTGGCAGCATTAAAGCAGCTGAGTTGCCAGAATCAGTGATCATTAATAAGTCATTCACCACTCGTAGAAGTGCACTTTCAGTGCTATGCCATGCTTTAAAGCCCAACTGAAATTTGTCTGAAATGTGATGTATAGACAAATAATCCTGTAGTTGTGCATGAACAACTTTCTCCAGAACTTTTGATAAGAAACTAAGTTTGGAAATAGGTCTAAAATTAGATAGACATGTTGCATCTAGGCTTGGTTTCTTTAAAAGGGGATTCACTTTATCCTGTTTAAAACACAGTGGAACACACCCTGAGAAAAGAGAACAGTTGATTAATCTGTGCACAACAGAAGCAATCCAGTCAAAGGCCTGCTTAAACATACTCTAGTGGGAATGGACGCCTTGCAAGTCTTACTCTGGGGAAGAAAAACACTGGTGAACCATTTCCAGGAACTAGAAGTGAGCCACATCACAGCTGAGCTTAAGACATCAGGTTTTGGAGTCCTATGATATTTGGACATCTCGCCTCGGATTGGAAAACAGTAACGCGATTTACCACTGACTTGCAAAGATGATGTTTTACTTTACTAAATTTATATTTCACGACCTCAGTCACCCAAGGTGACAAAGTCAGAATAAGCAAATTATGAAAAGATGATTTTTTTTTTGCTGAAGCATCATCATTTTCAAATAAATAGATGAAATAAATGCATTAACTCCCAAAATATTAAAAGTGAAACAAAAAGCAAATCGCCTAAGACCTTTGCTTATTTCGTACTATTCTGTCTCATTATTTGAATGTAATCATGCTGGCAAAGACACAAACAGCTGAGCATGTGGTAGTGGTGATACACCTTTTCTCAAGCTTGGAAAAAGAAAAAACTGTTCAAGATCAGGGGTGTTGCATAAGCACTTACATCACCAGCCGCTGCCTCCTGGCCGTACGTGATATAGTCAGAGCATGGCGCACGTGGGCAGCCTCTCCTGTTTTCTAAATAAAAATTTAAAAAGTCATTTAAAGAGGTTGAAATTGCAGCACAGTCAGCATATGTCTGCACAAAAACAACATGAGGGTAAGTGACGTCAACACTGGTTTGATTTTTTTACACCAAATGTGCAATTAAATGCCATTAAAAATAAACCTTTGTAACTTCTTACATAGAATAAACAATAATTTGAGTTTTATGAGATAAAGAAAAAATTGTGGAATAATTTATCCATAATTTTCAGCTGACGTAGCTCATTGGTTTACTTGAGATAAGCCACTAAACCAAATTATACTAATTTAAAAGACACTTTTAAGTCTGAAATGACTGTGCTCTAATCTATGTTTTAGCTCAATTTCCACAAAAAGCTGCAAATGAGGACTGTCATGTGGTGGTATCAGAGGGCCCAAGGTGCAGGTGCGAACTCTAGGCAGGTAACTTAATTTTTTTAATAAGATAAAGAATAAAAACGTAGAAACAGAGAAAAACAGGACGAGACTAGGGTGGTTATATTGGACAACAGGAGTGAATGAAACCAGGATGTATAAATACACAAGGAAGTGATTACTAATCAGGGACAGGTGAGTTAATGGGAAACAGGTGTGCATGATAAGTGATGGAACAAACAGACTCAAGGGGACCCAAAACATAAGGAAAATACAATATCCTAAAGCAGGGGTGTCAAACTCAGTTTTGCTCAGGGGCCACAATGAGGAAAATCTAGTTCCAAGTGGGCCAGACCAGTAAACTTAAAGTATGTATAAATTAAAAACTGCTTTAAATTGTTTTCTTTGTTTTAATACGATCAACACAAAACAAAGCTGGAGCCTGAGGAGAAGGTATCCAAAATAGTTTGAGCACAACATCAATATTAATAATAAAACACCTGAAGTGTATTTGAAAATGTGAAATACAAAACAAAAAACCCAGACTATTCCTCAGTAATTCAAATAACTGATTCACAGATCACATGGCTATATCAGGTCTAGTCCACACGTAGCCGGTTTTTAAAAAACGAATATCCGCCCCTCCAAAAACTTGCATCCACACCACCTCATTTAAAAAAACTCTGTCCACACGTACCCGGATAAATACGTTGTTAAGGACATGCCAGACCTGTAGGCGGCAGTACTTCCCCCGTTCTTAACCTCGTCCTTCGTCTGTGGTCTTCCACAAGGAGCAGTAATTCCGCTTGCAAAAACAAACAAGCTAAAAGCGCTTGGACAATTGATAAAGCGAGCGCAGCTCTGATGGCATCCATACTGTCGGCTAGTGTAAACACAGGTCGCACACGTGATGTCAGCATTTTTTGTCGCGGAAAGTGACGTTGCGGACCTTAAAACTCCGGTTTTGTCTGTCCACACGCAGACACCCAAAACGGAGAAAACGCAGATCTTCACTTTGGCCGGAGTTTTTAAAAAGATCCGTTTTCGTGTGAAAAAACTCCGTTTTCGTGTGGATGACAGGCCAAAACGTAGAAAAATATCTACGTTTTGGCAGATCCCCGGCTACGTGTGGACAGGGCCTGAGTTTCATGCATGTCTTTGACTCCTGATTCCTGAAATCGTTTAGCTTTCACCAGCAGTTTAATTGAAAAATGAAAGCTT